TCTAGACCTGCTTGCCACGCCTTGAAGAATGATTTTTGGTCCCCAAAACCCTAATGGATGCAACGGTTTGGCCACTGTACTAAGGAAACTGCGCTTAGTCCATTCTGTCCTGTCTGGCTTTAATACTTTAAATGAGACCATATCTTCATGGGATGACATCACCCCTAATGTTTTCACTGAGGGTAGGTGACCTTCAACATGGTCAATTTCATTTACTCTGTCTGTCTCTGGGATTTCTTCTAGTAGCTTTACGGAGTCAGACAACCACTTGCATAGTGCACTTGTCCACAGTTCTGACAGTTGACGATGTAGTTCTATCGCTGTTTGGTCATCTGTAATGCTATCCATGCAATCGTCCATGCAGGTAGATTTCAAGACTGTTCCTAATGGGAAGTCACTTTAGTTGTTCTCTGCATGCTCTTGAGTAACAAACTGTGCAAGGAATGGAGATGAGTTAACACCAAACTATTGAACTCGTACTTGTCTGGGGGTCTGGTTTGATCCAGGTTTCGCCACAAAAATCTATGGAAAGGTCTGTCCTGTGGCTTTAATCTATTCTAAGGTACATTTCGGCTACATCGCTGATCACTGCAACTTGATGTCGTCGAAATCGTAGCAACATGTCAAAAAGTTCTCGTTGCAACTTCGGCCCTTGAACGATGACACAATTTAGCGAAAGTTTTTCACTCTTGGCAGAAGCGTCAAAGTCAATTCTAGTTTTCGTGATTGCTCTGTCCATACGTACAACTGGGAAGTGAGGTAAGTACCATTTTTCGTCTGGCCCCTATCCCATCATTTGGTACTTTTCTGATGTATCCTTTCCCTAGGTAGATAGAGATTGTACTCTTGTATGCTTCTGCAATGATGCTATCTTTTGTTAGGTTCTTTTCAATCTCTTGGCTGCCATACCGTAGCTGTGTGGAAGTGAAGGTCTGTTTTTCTTCCATGGTATTCCAATCTGATATCCATTATCTGTTTTTGTCATTCTTTCTCTGGCTATTTCAAGGCTGACTGATCATCAGGGTGGATAACTGGGTTTTCTCCTGTGTCCCTCAGTTCTTCAATCTCAAAGAATTTCTTCAGCAATATGTTCAATTCTTGAACATTATTTTGTCTTTCAACACATACATATGTCAAGTGACTGAAGTTTGTGTACTCTCTGTTCCTGTCACTGATCTGTCCAATGCATGTCCATCCCGGTGGAGTGAGTCTGGCTATTGGGTCTCCTGGATCAGATCCACATGTGTCTCTGTAGGAACAGTGCAGCTCTGTCAAATCACATCCAATCAGTATAGGGGCGGTTGGGTAGCCTAGTGGTTAAAGCGTTGGCTCGTCATGCCGAAGGCCCGGGTTCGATTCCCCACATGGGCACAATGTGTTAAGCCCATTTCTGGTGTCCCCCGCCATGATATTGCTGGAATATTGCTAAAAGCGGGGTAAAACTAAACTCAGTCAGTCAAATCAGGATATCTACAACTGGCCTCTTCGCTACTCAAGAAAACGTGTTTGATGTGTGGCCATGTTTCAGCAAACTTATTCCAATCGACAACCTCCACATCTCCTGCCACTCCATCCGAAGTGTAGACATCAATAGTTTTCTTGACTGATCCACCTACAATTCACAGCACTAATCTGACTGGACTATTCTCAAAAGTCTCATTTTGACCATTCAGCACATTTACTGTTACCTTCTACTTTTCGCCTTGAAGTCCAAGTTCTGCTGCTACGTCACTGTTGATTAAGACTTGGTGCCTGCATCGTCCAGCAAGGCATTCACTGTGATCTGTCGGTGCCCATTCTTTAGTATGACTGCTACTGTCCTCATGCTATGAGGGGCGGTGGGGTAGTCTAGAGGTTAAAGCGTCGCTCATCAAACCGAAGGCCCGGGTTCAATTCCCCATATGGGTACATTGTGTGAAGCCCATTTCCGGTGTCCCGTCGCCGTGATATTTCTGGAATATTTCTAAAAGCGGCGTAAAACAAAAACTCACTCACTCACTCATTGCTTTGAATCTGGAGCTATGTTGACTGGTTGTGTGTAATCTCTCCCCCTCCATGGATGCAGGCTCACTTGACTTACCTTCCGTCCCACTTGTAGAGCTGACGTCTACCCTATCCTGATGTAACACTACAAACAGTCTATTATGAGTCTTGCTGCAACCATTTACACCACATATCCTTGTTCGCACACTGATATGAGCTCTATGATTACTTCCAAGGCAGCGATAACACAAGTTGTATTCCTTTGCCAAGTTCCATCTCTGTTCCACACTTTTCTTCGAAAAATTATTACATGCCCACACACCATGACTGCCGGAGCACACCATACAAGTCCTTGGTTTCCAGTTGTCATCTTCTCGTTGGGTGAAGAAAGTTCCTTGTGACGATGATGTCTTCTTTGCTCTAGTACCGCTTCTATTCTTGTATGTAATGTTCAGCCCTTTTATTGTCTCTGATGCCATTATTTTGAATTCAGCTTCTTGTATAATGTATCTCTGAGAGTTTCTACAGATTCGATTCTTCTGTTTTCATAAATCCATCTGTTGTACTGACCCAATAGGTCTTCTGTCAATTTTGTCTGTAGTTTGATGTAGAGAGAACCATCATTCAACTCATGTTGTCTTCCTGTATCCTTCAAGTTCATAACCTCAACGTGAAGAAGATCTGTAAACTTCTCCAAATCTTCAGCATATCCATGCCTTACGGGCTGAACATTTTCCAACTCTTCCAGGAAGACTGCTATTTGTCTTTTTCTTCCACCATACTTTCTGTCCAGTCTATCCTTCGCTGCTGCATATGCTGCGGCTGAATGTCCTAGGTTTTGTTCCACTGCTAGGGCTTCTCCAGAGAGATACTGCCTGAGCTGAAGGAATTTATATTCTGCTGTCGCTGGGGCTTCATCAATGCATGCTTGGAATGCAGCCTTCCAGATACTGTACTGTCTCTTATCTCCACTAAAGGTAGGAATGGTGACCCTTCTCAACTGTTTCCACATGTTACTACCTAAAGAAATAGTAGGATGATTATCTAACAATAGTTGCTCACCTTGAGCATTATGTCCTTCACCATACTGTCTGAGTCTCTTGAGTCTCTCAATATCGTGATCCTGTGTGCCATAGTCATGATGATCATCACATTTACTCTCTTTATCCAAGTCATAGGATTCATGAAACCGTTCTCCAGCATTTTCATCAACTCTAGAAAAATTCAAATGTTCTTCTGGCTTGGATAATGTTTCTGAATATTTCTGCTCATGTAGTATTTTCGTTGGTCTAGATCTAGTTTCCCTCAAGTAATTCTGAGCTACTTCTTCTGTTTCCACAAAGTTTGTTTCAATCTCTTTGTTTATCTTTTTCTTACTTGCAATATCTGTCTTGAATTCTTGAATAAGAGTGAACATTATCTCTACAGCAAGGTTTTGTGTTTCACTCAACTCGTCTATCACATCTCTAATGTTAGCTGTGTGGTTTTCAACTGTCACTGGCCATGTTACATCCTCTTCTAACAACAATAGAAGTTTATTGTTTAGTTTTGCGAATCTAGTTTTCACTATGGCCTTTCCTTTCTTTAGTTCTGTTATTCTATCTTCACTATCATTATTACACTCTGACCTTGTTTCAAGAGATTCATTATGGCCTCCCTCGTGTTCCTCAGTGTCCAGTTTTCGCTCATGCTTCAAAGTCTGCATTCAAGATACAAAGGTCTATATGGCTATACACATTTGTTTTTTGAACCCACACTCTACTACCTTTTGTTGCTATGCATTTCTATCTTAACTTTGTTTTTCCTGGGAAAACCATTTCTTGCTTGGTCGCATGCTCCCCAAAACCACAAAAACATGAGCGTCTTCCTCCGCTTTACTGACCGAACTCAAGCTTACAGCTTTAGAGTTACCTCCCTTACCTGTATAACTAACATAAACTGTCTCAAATCCAATGCCTTCACTAGTAACACAGATATATATGTATATGTTGTCCTGTATCTATCATGTGTATTTGTGTCAACTATATATATGGTATGTGACAACAATTCAGATTACATGTTATATGGAACAAGCCAACTTACAGTAGCGGGACAGGAAGCCTTAAAACCGGTGGAATGCCATTGTTATTATACTTACCTTTCCATGTGCCAACCCTGTAGAAGATTCAAAACTGCTCAGTGTACAATACCTTCAACTTCAAGATCCTGAGAGTTACCAAGGTACATCCCATGTCAAGGTCCAGAGAGTTACCAAGGTACATCCCACGTCAAGGTCCTGAGAGTTACCAAGGTACATCCCATGTCAAGGTCCTGAGAGTTACCAAGGTACATCCCACATGAAGGTCCAGAGAGTTACCAAGGTACATCCCATGTCAAGGTCCAGAGAGTTACCAAGGTACATCCCATGTCAAGGTCCTGAGAGTTACCAAGGTACATCCCATGTCAAGGTCCTGAGAGTTACCAAGGTACATCCCATGTCAAGGTCCAGAGAGTTACCAAGGTACATCCCATGTCAAGGTCCAGAGAGTTACCAAAGTACATCCCATGTCAAGGTCCTGAGAGTTACCAAGGTACATCCCATGTCAAGGTCCTGAGAGTTACCAAGGTACATCCCATGTCAAGGTCCAGAGAGTTACCAAGGTACATCCCATGTCAAGGTCCAGAGAGTTACCAAGGTACATCCCATGTCAAGGTCCAGAGAGTTACCAAGGTACATCCCATGTCAAGGTCCAGAGAGTTACCAAGGTACATCCCATGTCAAGGTCCAGAGAGTTACCAAGGTACATCCCACGTCAAGGTCCAGAGAGTTACCAAGGAACATCCCACATGAAGGTCCAGAGAGTTACCAAGGAACATCCCACATGAGGGTCCAGAGAGTTACCAAGGTACATCCCACATGAAGGTCCAGAGAGTTACCAAGGAACATCCCACATGAAGGTCCAGAGAGTTACCAGGGTACATCCCACAAGAGGGTCCAGAGAGTTACCAAGGTACATCCCACATGAAGGTCCTGAGAGTTTTTTTTGTAAAGTATTTTTATTCACTTTACTTGGTAACATTTGAACAAGATATGTGGGTAGAGTAGAATGGTACAGGTTGCATAATAGAAAGCAGACAATGTATAACATATGGTACTGGGAATATAGATTAACAATTGAGATGCTAGCTAATGTTACCGAGAGTTAAAAGACTAAAAAATAAATTACAGGACTGCATCTAGGTCATTCCATTTTCTGTAAAAATGTTTCATATTATCGTTTTGCTTCTCAATAAATTTCTCTATCTCGTAGACATCTTTTAATAATGGTCTGTAGATGGAGAAGCTACGTTTGGGTCCTTTTATATTCATTATGAAAATGTGGCGCTTTGCCAATAGTATCATGTGAGTAAGTGGTTACTACTGCAACAAAATAGAATATCATGATTTGACATTTCATACGTTTTACCAAGGACTTGAGTTATAAAATTGTTAATTTCTGACCAGAACATTTTAATGGTGGGACAATCAAGGTAAACATGGTAAATATCCTCACTTACTGAACCACATAATGTACACAGGTCATTATCTATCAATTTCATTTTTAGTAAATCTCGTTTAGTGTAAATGACTCTATGCAAAAACTTATATTGAAAATCTAAGAGTTTCGTGTCTTTAGTGCATTGTCTATATTTTTTTGTGAAAATATGGTTTTCCAATTTATCAACTCATTTAGTTCCCCGTCCATTTGAGACACACCTTCGGAATGTTATAGTCAGATATAAAATTATCATAGAATATCCTTGAACCTTTACTAGGTTGAATCAAATCATTCGAAGGAGAGCACATAGATAACGACGGTATATTAAAATTGTTGTTTGTTCATTTAACTTCTTTCCTCTGTTTGGGTATACTAAGGAGAACACGATTAAAGTCAAGTACAGTACCTTTAATACCAAATTTTGCCTTAAGTTCTGCAAATGTTAGAAATGTGTGGTCGTTACAAATATCTTTAATATAAACTATTCCACATTTAATCCAGTTATGAATGATCAAACTTGGCTGGTTACACTGGTGATTTAACCATAGTGGCTGCATGAGTATTTCATTAATGTCGTTATTGTTACATACCGATCTTTTAACATATCTATGCCAGGCATCAAGAGAATCTTTCCAAAATGGATTTTTAATATTATAATGTTTTGTGATGTTGGCTCCTAAAAAAAGAAGGTTTTGTAGAGTGAAACCGGCGAGAGCATAGTTCTTAGGTTTTGAAATATATCTCTTCAAACATGAAACTTTTAAAGAGTCGATAAAGGTTTTCACGTGGACCATTCTTAGACCACCTTCTTCGTACCTTCGTACTAAATTAATTCGTTTTATTTCATCAATTTTATCATTCCATATAAATTTGAAGAATAATCTGTTCAAATCAGTAATAAATGTTTTTGGGGGATTAGGGAGAGAAGAGAAGATGTGGACAATCGTGTATAAAGCTAAACTTTTAACGACGGTTATTTTCCCTATCAACTTTAAATTGCGTCTTTTCCAATTCAGTAGAATTCTTTTTATATTTTCGAGTCTCTGCTTTGTATTAATTACCCATACGTTTTCTAAATGAGCATTTAATTTGATTCCCAATACTTTGAAATTCTCATTATGCCAATCCATGTTATAGTCCTGGGATAGGACTATTTTACTACCTGCCATTGATCCTAGCCATACTACTTTTGTTTTATCAATATTTATTTTCAAACCTGACATCTTGTAAAAGGAAATAGCTTCATTAAGAGAGGTTTCGGAAAGTATGTCAAGGTCTAGGGGCGAAGAAATGTATCTTCCACGTCAACATCAAGAGAATTATCAATGTACCTTTGCCGTCAAGTTCAGATAGAACATATTACACTTTCCACATCATGGTCCAGAGAGTTATGAATCTACATTCCAATACCCTGAACCCATTCAAAGCCACAGCATCTCTAATCAAGACTTACAAGAGAGAGAGAAAGGTGGGTTTAATCCTGTTTTCAACACTATTCCAGTATATCACATCAGCTTGGCAGCTTGCTTATTGGGAAAGGCCCAGGAGAGTCTCAGATATCACAACTTTGGTGAAACCCACCAGGAAGATTGTGGTGCGGACAACGCTAGGAACATTATAAGGGTGAACCAGGATTTGAACCGATGATCAGAGTGTTCTGGCAAGACCAAGGGACATAACTCTGTACGGAGAAGTGATGAGTTTGTGGGGCTATGGTCCTTCCCCACACTGGAGGTGTGTCCTTCATCCAGGAGTACACATGTACCCTGTAGTATGGGTTGAGCACCTCACTGGCAGCCTGGGTTGCATACTTTCCAAGGGAGCTGAGAAATACAATAGAACAGCACAACGATTCCTGCAGTAATTATGGTGTTATTTGAGCATGCTTCAACAAATAGCGAAACAATAGTGGAAAGTTGACAGGAAATGACTATTTTAACCTATATACTGTAGGCCTGGTGCAGTTGTGGCTTACAATACACTTCAAGTACTGAACCATGATATTATAATAAGGCTCAAATGATTCTCAGGCATGATACTGGGGTGGGATTTTTTAATAATGAAGGAAAACTTTAGATTGCTTTAATATGAAGAAAAGAAAACTCAGAATCAATAGAGCTTCACACAGTGAAAGAATCAAAAGAATCGACACAATGGCTAGTCTTCAGGGCTTAAATCCAGCTGTTCTCAAGTACGTTCTGGACTTAAACGGTCTAAAACTGTCAGATGTGTGAAACAATACCCCACAGTATTCCTCACTATTTCTTCTTCAAATCGGTTGGCTAACTGACTCCTACACCACTGTACATGAGGTTCAATATTTCGTTTTACACTGACATTGATTACAGCATATTCCTGTGAATACTGAGTTGTTCACACACTAACCTTGAGTTGCCCACTGCATTTGTCCTTCACTGTCTGTAGAGCCTCCTGTATGTAGGTCAAGAGGTCGGCCTCATCCTCCATCTTTATCCAGCGTCTCCCTGTTCTCTGCCACTGGTCTGGCCACCCCAGGGTGAGAGATCAACCCTGGAGACAGCTGAGACCAAGGCTCTGGGGTGGGTACAAGAGTGGGGACCACCACAGGAAGAGGAGTGGGGGTACATGTGTTTACCGCAGGAGGTAATAGTTGTACATTTCCTAGCTTCGGAGGACCTTCAGCTGGATTCAGGATGCTGGCTGTAACATCAGCATTCATGACAGGTTAACAAAACTTGACATCTTTGACACATGGCACCATTTGCAGTGAAAATCTGAAATATGTTTCAAACTCTATTTCATATTATAACAAGTATATTTCTAACAAGTATTCTAACAGTGTATTATCATGATAATTCTTTAATTACAATAATTAACAGTACCGAATAAAACATAATCAGGCATTAATAGCATACCCTTTTCTCCAGGTTTCTTTGCATGATGTAGGAATAGTTCACATAAAGGGAGACAATTTTAACAAGATGTTACGTTGTCTCCCCTTCTCTTTTGTTCCCCCATATTGGTTCACATTAATACTTGTGTGATTCTGGCAAGCTGGAACTCGTACCCCTCTTGTGGTCTCATGGACCTTGTCTAAGCACTAACGGGCATGGAGATGAAAACAGTCTAGTAGTATTTCCAAGGAAAAATAACTCTTAATTTCCAAACTCCAAGAATATACCATGACACACAATGAACATTCATTGCCTTCATGTTGCTCTTAAAAATTGCTTATGATTCAATAAAAGTATTTCTTCTTTTCTACATGGAACAATTAATACATTTTGTCACAATACTTAGGAAGGCGTTTCCTATTCTCGCGGTACTTACGGATATCGGATGAAAAAATGACACGAACAATTCTTATCGTATTCATGCTTGTTGTTATTAAATGAAGGGCCTTCTCCTCTAACATCTACATCTATCAGCTGCTAGATCCATCAGGTGAATTACCACTCCTGAGCCCGGTGATAAACAATGTCATCCGCCATTGACGAAACGATCGAGGCTTCTCCCATTCTCGCAGTATTACCAGGAATTAACGTTATTGAGTGTATGTAAGAGCAATCCTGCCGGAAAAGGCGGGAAAAAGTAATGATATGTCTAAGTTAGTATAAACTCCCCAATATTCCTGATACTGCAAGATTTTGATCACTCACAGACTTGGGCCAATTCCTAGTTACCATCGGTGATGTAAACAACCACTGAGTAAGTGTCGCGCATCGGCGATTTCAGCAGAAAACGTGTTTACCGCGAGAATAGGAAACCCCCGAGAATAGGAGACGGATACATATATACTTACTTACTTACTTACTTACTTACTTACTTACACACACACACACACACACACACACACACAAGAGGTTTTCTTAATCACAAATAAAGTATTTCCTTGTCACACACAAATGGCCATAACAGATTTCTTCCTGATAAAATAATCTGTGACAACTAATGTGTTCTTGTACACCTGCAATAACTTTGCAAGAAGTTTGCATTATATTTATTATGGAAGAATGATAGCTAATTAAAAGTCTAAGAGAAAATTTTGAATTTCTACCGAAGTGCCAATTTATCATTGGAACTGGTTCAGAGGTCACATGTCTGGCAAACTCCGTTCTTTGACAGCACAACTCTCTGGTATAAGTTGAGCCGTCATACTGCAAGGGATGCAACTGTCGAACACAACTTCTAATGGCACACGACAGGTTCGCCTACTGGGGGCTGCCATGACAGTCACATGACGTTCCCATCCAATCATATTTTCACAAATGGGCACCTGTTAGCTGTTGTATGAATTAGTGTCCACCCTTCTCTGACATATTTTGTTTATTGATAGTTTATTCCATTTGCGTTGATATTTTAAATGCAATCAACATAATATGCAATCTTGAAACAAAGTTCAAAGAGGTCCAGAGTAGTCAATTATGTGCTCATGGTTTATTAAGGAATGCTCAATATACGTTATGCAAACGAACATTTAATCTTTATCTGAGAAAAGCGAACACATTGCCTGATATACCATTTCCTGAACAACTTGTAATACTTAGTATGCCAAGACACAAACCTCTGTGTGTGTTAATCATGATTCATAGATTTGTATCGTGTGTGTTTAGTGTAAATGTTTGCGCAACAGTTACATCTTGGTTGTAGAGTTTATATAACCTGTTAGGGACCAGCCATCTTAATTTTCAGGTAGGGGTCTGAAAAAGCCAAGCCTCTGTTTGACTGAAATTTGTGTAGGGTTCGTCGTGGTCTTTTCTTGCAGCTACGTGTTCAAAGAATACATTTGGGGAGCATTGAGCTCTTAAACATAAATTCAAATAATAACTTCGCACACGTCAACTATCTGGACCTAAACACGAGTCCAGAACAAAATGTTTCTTAACGTGTTAAACGTCGTATACATGACATTGTGTAGGTATTCATTTCTAACTACTGTTATGTATATGATCTGATTAATAACTAAATCAAACTGACAAATGTTATATGTAGCCAGTGACTGTAAATTTATACCATACAATTTGTAAATAATATCAGCACAAACGAACAAAGAGGCTTACACATGTATACCTAAAAAACAGTACATCATATGCCCCGCTCTATTTATTCTAAAGACATTAAAAATGTTGTGCATAATTTAGCTTGTTATCAAACACAACAATCAAGGGCGTGTATAGAGAATATACATCACACCTTGTCCGTTATATTCTTCGCCGTCAAACAGCAGTCTCAAAAGAAATCCACAAATCACACTAGTCGTAGTGTACATAGTATACGCTACCACTTCCCATCGTATTGGTGGTTAGATATATCCACGCGGTATGTAGTGTCAATGGAACACATATTACACAGTCGCCTCCTAATATTGTTGACGGATGTACTTTGGATATAAGTTGATGGTAGATCCTGCAGTTGTTTAGTGTGATTGGTGAAGTGTCAATGTTTCTGTGTTGTTTTACTTCGTCACCATCGCACCTGGTATGAAGAATTCGAGTGGATTTTCATCTATAAGGAAATTGACACTTGTCTGTTTCATCTGGTCCTGCGTTGTGCAAGTCAGGGCTCATGATGTTCTTAGATCGGAAAGAACTTCAACGGGAACTGGTCCTCTTGACCAAAAACGATCTAAATCAGACGAGGGGAGTATTGTTTTTGGTAAGTTGCAATTAATCTTAATTGATTGAAACGGGAGTGACGTTTATAAACAACTTTTTGACAGTTTCAAAATGTAAACAACTTTCCGGAGTGGGCCAATCATTATCCTATTTTCTATGCAGCAGTATTTTTACGCTTCACTTTCTGTTTATGACAGATTTCTTTTTGTACCTTTATTAGTAAGTTGGCAGTAATTTTATATAAGTCAGTTGCCCCCAGTAATATTGATCTGTATTGGCATTAATTAGTACTTTGTCTGAGAATGAGAGTAGGCATAATCAGTCATTATTAATAAATAGGAATTTTTCAACCAAATTTGGTGTGTTGCTAGAGTGAAGTTTCAATGCCAACAAAACACTTTGATTTTTATACCAAAAATTTTGATTAAAAAGTTCTTAGTCTTACAAGACACCCACCCTGAGAAAATAAAAATGAATAATATTTTTCAGCCATTTTTTGGGGCTAGGAACATTTTAAAAATATTTCTGCACTTCAAAAAAATATGTGTAGGTATTCTGTCTCTGTATTGGTATCTTGTCGATCCATTTTGGTGATAGTAGTCATATATTTACCACATACAATATGAAAATTTGGCCCTGTAAGAGTAGCACCGTATAAATCATTTTTATATGTTTTTGTTTTTAAACAAAGTTTTCATGACTAATGTCTACAAATGAGTAAAACATCATCAAAATAAACATACATAGTCATTGTCATTGTAAAACAGGTCTTTCATAATCCAAGAAAAAGTGACAATAATGTTAAAAAAGAATAGTTTACAGCTTTTTAAAAAAAATGCTGGACCTTGAAATTTGAAGGTCACGAGATACAAATGTATGTAAATGTATTTCGAAGAATATCTAGATTTCTACTTGTATAATTAACATGAAATTGTAGGTGGGGCTAGATCATGGGGATAAGTTATTAAAATACATTTTGTTTTCCACACAGAAAAAATTAGTAAAAACATTATTAGTATTCAAACACACCCGCTCCTTAAAAAGGTTACCGCATTTCTTTCCAGCCATATATTTGCTAGGGTACTTTTAAAAATATTTCCACACTTCTGAGAAATGCATTGTAGTTATTTATTGGCATCATGTCTATCTATTTTTGCAATAAAAGTGATATACATGTACCTAACACATACGCTAACAAAATCTGTCACTGACAGAGTGGTACCCATCTCTGCTGTTTCAACATCATCACAAACTGTCCACATATAACATATTAATGACTAGAAAAAGACAAGAGCATGAACAAATCTTAGCTAAGCCCTTTTATATCATTTCCAATATCTCATACATGATGGATTGATAATGATATCATTATATAAATACCATATCTGATATGTAGAGGTCCGGGTCTAGGTCTGTTTTGGCGTTGATCATAAATACTTAAAGGTCACATAAACCCTAGGGGGTACAAATACTTAAATCACTAACTGGCATCGTTATAAATGAAACCCCGTCATTAAAACTACTCATTTCGACCTTTAATTGACTTAAATCGACCTTTTTGACAACAGTGCACAATTCTTACCCTCGAAGGAAATTTCAACCAATCAGAGCGGCGTGTCTCTGTGACGTCATATGAGGAGTAACTTTGAGGGCCGATGCAGAATTCATCTACATTTTAGGGGGTAAATTATCTTGTTTACAGGCTTGTATAAACCTGAAATCGTGACAATTGTTGTTTTTCCATTTGGAATGAAAATGAAGCTATATGTTCTCACAATCTACTGTCATTTACTTTTTGTCTCCTGCTTTGCCTAGTTTCCGAGTTACAACTTGTTTTCATAGACGATTCTGTGAAAATCGATCGGTGTCGTTAGGCCCTATTTGTATAATGACTGATCCAAATTGATCCCATTTCTGTGTTTTTTTACCTCGATATTTAATCATGTCATGTAAAAATCTGTTTGTATTCTCAAAACAGTGTCGGCCCATAAGTTTTCACTTGCAATACATCAATTAATACTCCTTTGTTGTAACCCGTGTTAGGTGGTATAAACCTACATATGTTATTTGTCATCATTCACTTGATGGTCAGTTAATGAATTTATAACAGGTATAATTAGTGGTAACACACTTAGATTACCCGACAAAGGTTCCCATTTGGCATTTCTTGTGTCTTGGGTAAATATTCAACATTATTAACATCGATCAAAGGATTAACCGATAACACGCTGATTGATTAATTACTTTTATCTTATACAGCGGAATTGTCAAAAGGTAGTGTTTATGTATGTAGATTTACTAATCTATACTGAATACACTCTGTTGTGTCGGTGTCTGCGTAAAAACAACGTCCTTCTTTCAAAGGATTAATCAGCAATACATTGATTGATTGCCCATTATTGGCTAACTAATTTCCTGTTTTTAAAGAAAGGCGGACATTATGCAATTGGTTGCCAGGTGTGCTATCTTGGGTGACCAATGAGACTATACACCAATACCTGAAAAGATTTATCACTTTTTCGTATATTAAACTGTTAAAAGACACATCATTTGGAACAGTTTTGTGGATATTGATGGATCCATTCCTCGAACAAGGTAATGGCCTGATATTGTTCTTATAACTTTGATCTGTTTTAATTTTAATATTTGCATGTTGTTTTTATTCATTTGTCGTAGCATTCAACAGAATCATTGTTTTCGCCGCGGAAGTGTAATGAGACAGACAACTCTAGGGTGTGTGTGTGCTAATTATGATTCACATTGGCAAACTATAAAATGTCTAGATATTACAGTTCTGTTATAAATTTACTATAAGTATCAGCAGATCGTCTGCTTTTATTTAGTTTCAAAATGCATACAAGTATGATAATAAACTAATTAGGATTATAAGACCAAATATAAAGATGCACATTGACTAGTATCTACATACTGGTGAGTGGACATTAACCATGTGAATGTAGCAAGAAATGTATCACGCAGTATTGTGACCCGACCCCCACCTCGCTTCCGTGGAAGAAATCGTCATGTTATAAGTTGTGTCATGCAAAATCCGTTTTGGTTATGATTCCAATACATATTTAACTATTTAGTAGAAAGTAGTTTTGATTTTCTAACTTGATGAAAACAAACTATAATCTCATTAATTCTAACAGACTTTCACGATTTTCAAAATGGCGGCGCCCTGTCTGGAACATCCGCCAGTCTGAGGATAAATGCTTTTAGGTTTGTTTTCACCGAAGTTACAAAATCAAAACTACTTTCTACTGGTGGTAAAATATGTATTTGATTGATGGCCAATAGGATTTTGCATGACATAGCGCATAACATAACAATTTCTCTCTCGGGCAGCGAGGTGGGTGTCAATATAATACCACTTGCAATATTATTGTTACTTCGACCACAAGCTCACTTCGAGGAAGAAATCGTTATGTTACAAGTTGTGTCATGGAAAATCTTTATGGTCATCAATCATGTACATATTTTACTACAACTAGTAAGTAGTTTTGATTCTTTAACTTCCGTGAAGCGATCTGAACACAAGTAAGATATCGTTTCAGGCTTCCACAACGCCTTCGCCTCGCACTCACAAACATAACCCATTTAGCACGAACTGCGGGGTCCTGTGGAAATCTGTGCATGGTGACACCATCGCCCGGCCCCTAGGAGCACTTGACGACAAAGCAACGATTCGGCATGTCGTCGTTGATGTCGAGAAATCATCAAAATGATGAGCGTGCTACACACTCTCTATACAACTAACTGAAAATCGTTCCTCATATGACGTCACTGCAGTGCTCTGGCGACAGAGTTACGTAACCTGTCTGTGGTTTCGTTGGCGGGCGAGAGGGAAGCAGGCGACTTTTTGGCCACTTTTAATCGCTCGGTATTAATTACAGTGTTCACGAATGGTGTTTCAAAGTAACAGGAAATTGGGTCCTGTAAGTTTCAGATGTCTGTCTGACCCATTGAAAATTCACAGGACCCATAGAATAAAATTAAACACACATTTCAGATTTAAAATTTCTTATAATTGGCATTCAAAATTACTAACAAACATAAGATTTATAAACAGCAAACAAGCGTCACATGTGACATGTGACATGTGACATACAACAACTTCAGTCAAAGTCATTGTGAAACATACAGTCAGACACTGGGGCCAGCGGGTTGTAGATTTCTATCAGACCGTATCGGAATCTGCCAGATTTGTCAGAGGGTCAGACACTATTCGTGAACACTGTAATTAACCACAAGTTTTTAAAGAATAAATTTGGTGTTCCGCATAAGATTAACTACAAATCTTTCCTATGTAATGGTTAAAAGAGTAACAAAAAACAAAGTTTAGTGGTTCTTTAAGCAAATTGTTTCCAACAAATACAGTTTCTGTTATTTCATGATCCTGGAGCTATGTATCCATTTTGGCCAAGTTCAATGCACAATATATGAGGAGGAGGAAACATTTTTCTTTGAAAGAGCAGTACCAAGTCCTGCTCTTCCAACTCTATCACAAATTCATGGCAGGTATAAATGTCTTAAAGAAATCACAACAACAACATATAGGTCAAGCTGCATGATTATCATGCAAATCTGAAGTAACAATAGCAACCAATCTGTGTCACTTTGCAAAACATAAGTAGCCTGGCTTGTTCTGTTTCTTCTCTTCAGTTGGTCAGCCATGGTCCTGAAAATAAAAATTAAAAATATAAATTAATTTATTTCTTAACAATATGGCACTATTTGGATTGTGATAATTTAATGGCCCTATAATGAAGGCAATAAATGATTAATTATCTATTATTATTATTATTTCAGCAACAATAGTATCTTAATATCTGAAGAGATTTTATGGCTGGAATGCAACTGAATATAGAGACAATACAACATAAAATGTCACCATGGTCGACTGTCAGATGTTGCTAGCTTGTGTATACTAACAGTAACACACAATCACATTTACAGTCACTCACTGTCAGATGTTACTAGCTTGTGTGTACTAACAGTAACACACAATCACATTTACAGTCACTCACTGTCAGTAGTATTTCAATTTTGATAACCATGTCAATTTCACAAAAATATGTCAACCCAGTGTGCACGCTATTTATTTACGCCAAATATATGTTAAAATTGGATTGATTGGCGATAATAAGTGGCTTATATTCGTTCATTAGTTCTAGATACATCATATTGCAAGTATGAAAAATGTTGTCACTCGCCTATTTTGTAGTAAAGACGATATTTCCACGCTTGTTGACAAACACGATCTCAGCTGGATCGCTAGCGAAAGTTACTTCCGGTATAGACGGTGGGGTCCTAATCATTTTTATTTCGACATGAACACGTTGTTAAAAAAATACAATTAATAGTGCAAACTGAAGCTGGATAATTCGTCTTACTATGAGAATTTTTATAGACGTGCGCTTTGCATAAATATGTTTTTTACACTTCGGGAAGCTTTCACCTTCACAAAGTCAACATTTGACGTCACATTTGTCAAAATATGAAAAAAGCTGTCTCTAGCTTTGTTTTTCTTCTTTCCATTGGTGCATTTGTATACTTTGTGCAATCCGAGGCAACGTTACAAATGCACGTAAAAGCCCTCTCCTGTTTTTACCCCCTTTTCTGACCATGTTTTTGTGCTTACGAGAAGAGCTGTATCGGTTATCTCCCCTGGCTGGATAACGCTAATGAGAGTTATTGGCATGTTCGTCATTTTTCTTTATTCTCTGTGTTATATTGAGGCCTATTGACACTTTTCAGATGGAGTGAAGTTTTCTTTGTAAACCAGTGACATCACTCAAGACTTGTTTAGGTGGAAGTAAACTTTTTAAACATGTATTGGTAAGAATTCCGCCCGTAACCCCAGCATCACATGTATGCTGTTTATTATGATTATTTCTAGGGGTTAGGATTTAGGCTAAGGGTTTAGATTAAGCATTATGTCCGGTTTAGGGTTCAGGTTTGGGTAGATTTTCGATAAAAAAACATCTATTCTTAGGTTCATAGAATTATTTTGAAAACCGGGGATTAAGGGCGGAAATCTTTCCTTTTTTAGCCCATCACCTCGACTGCACAGAGACCGAACCACCCTCAAACTCCCACAGTGGCACAACGAGCCATACTTTGACAGATTGACAATGACTCATGTGTGCCAGTTATGAAGCAGGGGGATTATAAACTGAATGAACTTTGTATCCCAGGGTTCTAAGTGTATTTGGTGGCAGGTATATCCTGCATCTGATTGTCTAACTGATTCAACAGTGTTGTCTAACTGATTCGACAGTGTTGCATCATTGGAACCATCAATGGAATTTAACACAGGACATTTGAGCTGGGTGTGTCATCCCCCATTGTGATATAACATAATGGGTAAACTGTATCATATTTGTCACCAGTATCAAAGTAAAGGAAAAGTATCAAATTTGGTTTCAAATATTTGATGGATCATTCCAAATATGTCATATTTTACGCTTATTCGGTGAATAGCAGGTCTGTGTATGTAACTTAGTTTCAGCGAAATACCTGCTTACTTGCAAGTCAGAAATGGGATAATTAGCCCAGTTTTTCAGGTGTGTAATGACCTGGTAACTAAGGACGCGAAGCACCATTCTCCCCCCATCTCAGTGAGTGTCTAGGGGATGTATTTCCTGTTAGCCTGCTAATTACAATGCCCTCCCACATACTTCATCATCGATCAGTCTTCTCACAGTATCGTTACCTTCAGTGACAGCTACATACTTCATCATTGATCAGTCTTCTCACAGTATCGTTACCTTCAGTGATAGCTACATACTTCATCATCGATCAGTCTTCTCACAGTATCGTTACCTTCAGTGACAGCTACATACTTCATCATCGATCAGTCTTCTCACAGTATCGTTACCTTCAGTGATAGCTGCATACGTCATCATCGATCAGTCTTCTCACAGTATCGTTACCTTCAGTGACAGCTACATACTTCTGGAAGTAGAACAAGCTGCATTCCATTTCACTTCTGAAATACAATGATTGACAACTTATATTACAAGAATTTATCAACACTGTGCAAAATTGACCCTTGGAATTTTTTCATTTATCTGATGCTATGCTGAGATGTGATGCTATGCTAAGATATGATACTATGCTAAGATACGATACTCTGCTATGATGCAATACTAGACCAGAAACTAGTCATTTATATGAAGAAATATCAGTGGTTAGTATTGTTTACACTGTCTTCTTGTCTTACTGTGGATTGTTAAAGATGAAAATGTAGCAATGCAGCTATATATAGACGTGTTGGCATCATATCACAAAGTGTGCGTGGCTGCTTTCCCTTTTTAAACCACTGTTTGCAGGAATCTTCTCTCCCATCATCACCAACCCACCTTGTCCCTAGTACATATGTCCCTATCCTCAACCGTCTTACTTTCCACATATTTTGTATTCCTTCAAACAAGACCTGCATGATCCTTGAAAATAATCTTGCTAAGTTGTGAATATAGTCTTAAATATTCTAACAGGATCAAGATCAGAGTGTTTTACTCAATGCCCTTTTACAAATATTACTAAGTACGACCCTCCCTAGTGAACAAATGAAGGAATGCACACACAAACCTTTGCCACAATCCATATCTAGAAGGTCAGTGACTCTGACAGTCTGTGAGGTGTACCTTAGTATCTATTTGACATATCTTTATGATCACCTGTCAGTGATTGGCTGATTGGTCAAGGCTTTCAAGCACCTGTAATCACCAAAGGTTCACTAACAACTTGGGAAATATCTCCTTTCATGTTATTTTTCAGCCATTTTGACATGCACGTGATGTGAATGTGCTGCAATACGCTGACACAGTAAATGACTTGCTGATGATGTTGATACGGAGAATGCCATTCTTTCTCACCTGATAATGATATTATCTGAATATATATCTTGTTGCGACCAGACTTCTCAGCATGTTACTGAAGAACAGTTTGAGCATACACCTGCTTATCTCAACTATTTATATTTTTTAGGAAGTATTTTATGTTTGTTATACAACTAGTTGTTGTAGGGATGTCAGTAGTTACAAGAACTGTGAGAAATAGCCACTGGCCCGCTAGTCGGTGGCAAATAAAAATCCAGTCGTGCCAGTAAATCTTCACAGTCACTGGCCCGACTCGCTGGTGAAGTTTCATGCGGGTCATTTGTTTTTTATGGTATTTTGCCTTTTCGTAATCTTTTGCTTAGTTTCTACATTCAAATTTCGGGCTAGTGAATTATTCGGGTTAGTAACTTTCAGGCAAAGTTAGCCCAACTGGCTAGCAAAATTTGGAAACTATTTCGCACACTGCTCATAAGTCTGAAATGAAATGTGAGAACATGTTTCAGAGTATATAATTGTGATAGACAACATGATAAGAAGTGACAATCACTTCGTGTGAGTTCATTAGGGAATGAGATTTCGTCGTCACGTCCACGGGGTGAAGTCCCCGCATTGTACACCCCTGTGTAGGAGTGATCTTTCATACAGTAATTCCCTTGCTCAATGAAGGCGCGTACATTGACCTCATGAAGTGGAAGTCCATTCTTAAATATTCATGTTCACCTTAGAAGTGAGTGATATCACAGATGTACAGTTGAAACTATACTCATGATACTTTCTTGGTAAACAGCAGTGTAGGAAAGATGTAGAAAATCTAGCCTGTCCACAGGACTGGCAGGTCAAATTTTTTACCAGTCCTGCCAAAATCTAGCCTGTCCTCCAAATATAAATAAAACACCTTCGGCAGTAAATATTCAAAAAGGTTATAATCATTATATATATGTCATTGGTTTGCTAAAATTGACCCGACATGAGGACGGACTAGATATTTTTTTAACCCGTCCTCCACAAAATTCACCCGTCTCGGACGTTGGGACGGGCTATATCTTTCCTACACTGGTATACAGGTATATGTCAAACTGTTTTTTTTAAGAATGATGATACTTTTATGGATATACAACTTCTTTATTGTGTGAAAGGCCACATTTCAACATAGATTCTAATGTACTCACATTTATCTTAAGTGTCAACAACATTAGAATCTATGTCGAAACATTGCCTTTCACAGAATAAAGTTGCATATCCATAAAAGTATCATCATTCTTCATCACCTCAACTTCTAAAATGGCCATCAAAGAAGCCATGTTTCTCGGAATATGTTTTATATTTTCCCTGTGAGTGTCATGATCACACTTCGGAAACAGATGAAACAGATGGTACACTATTTCTCTTCCTGACCCAGACTAGTGATCTGTCATAGGTTCTACTATATGTATCCTGGTTACTGTCATAACACATTGGTCAGCATATTGTCAACATTATTTTATGGTCAGTTTTATTTGTGAACAGGGAGGGTACAAACAAGGTACAGGGTGGGTACAGGTGAGGTTCAGGAGAGGTACAGGTGAGGTACAGGGTGGGTATAGGCAAGGTATAGGGAGGGTAGAGGGAGGATAGAGGCAAGGTACAGGGAGGGTACAGGTGAGGAACAGGGTGGGTATAGGCAAGGTACAAGGAGGGTACAAACAAGGTACAGGGAGGGTACAAGCAAGGTACAGGGAGGGTACAGGCAAGGTACAGGGAGGGTACAGGCAAGGTACAGGGAGGGTACAAGCAAGGTAGAGGGTGGGTACAAGCAAGGTGAGAGGGTGGGTACAAACAAGGTACAGGGTGGGTATAGGCAAAGAGGTACAAGGAGGGTACAAACAAAGGTACAGGGGAGGGTACAAGCAAGGGGACAGGGTGGGTACAAGCAAGGTACAAAGGAGGGGTACAAACAAAGGTACAGGGGAGGGTACAAGCAAGGTACAGGGTGGGTATAGGCAAGGTACAGGGTGGGTATAGGCAAGGTACAAGGAGGGTACAAAAAAGGTACAGGGAGGGTATAGGCAAGGTACAGAGTGGGTACAAACAAGGTACAGGGTGGGTATAGGCAAGGTACAAGGAGGGTACAAACAAGGTACAGGGTGGGTATAGGCAAAAGGTACAGGGTGGGGTACAAACAAGGTACAGGGAGGGTATAGGCAAAGGGTACAGGGTGGGTACAAACAAGGTACAGGGGAGGGTATGGCAGCAAAGGTACAAGGGAGGGTACAAACAAGGTACAGGGTGGGTATGGGCAAGGTACAAGGAGGGTACAAAAAACAAGGTACAGGGAGGGTACAAGCAAGGTACAGGGTGGGTATAGGCAAGGTACAAGGAGGGTACAAACAGGGTACAGGGAGGGTACAAGCAAGGTACAGGGAGGGTATAGGCAAGGTACAGGGTGGGTACAAACAAGGTACAGGGTGGGTATAGGCAAGGTACAAGGAGGGTACAAACAAAGGTACAAGGAGGAGGGTACAAACAAAGGTACAGGGAGGGGTATAGGCAAAGGTACAGGGTGGGTACAAACAAGGGTACAGGGGAGGGTATAGGCAAAGGTATACAAGGAGGGGTACAAACAAAGGTACAGGGTGGGTATAGGCAAGGTACAAGGAGGGTACAAACAAGGTACAGGGAGGGTACAAGCAAGGTACAGGGTGGGTATAGGCAAGGTACAAGGAGGGTACAAACAAGGTACAGGGAGGGTACAAGCAAGGTACAGGTGGGGTACAGGGAGGGTACAAGCAAGGGACGGAGGGTACAGGCAAGGTACAAGCAAGGTACAGGGAGGCTACAAGCAAGCTACAGGGAAGGTAGAAGCAAGGTTCAGGGTGGGTACAAGCAAGGTAGAGGGTGAGTACAGGCAAGGTACAGGGTGGGTACAGGCAAGGTACAGGGAAGGTACAAGCATGGTAGAGGGTGGGTACAAGCAAGGTACAGGGTGGGTATAGGCAAGGTACAAGGAGGGTACAAACAAGGTACAGGGAGGGTACAAGCAAGGTACAGGTGGGGTACAGGGAGGGTACAAGCAAGGGGACCGAGGAGGGTATAGGCAAGGTACAGATGGGATTTTAGGGGACAGGGAAGGTAGAAGCAAGGTTCAGGGAGGCACAACAAGCAAGGTAGAGGTGGAGTACAAGCAAGGTAGAGGGTGAGTACAGGCAAGGTACAGGGGAGGGTACAAGCAAGGTGTGGGTACAAGCAAGGTAGAGGGTGGGTCTGAGGCAAGGTACAGGGGAGGGTACAGGCAAGGTACAGGGAGGGCCTGACAGGAAAGGTACAGGGTGGGTATAGGCAAAGGTACAGGGAGGGATACAAAGCAAGGTACAGGAGGGTACAAGCAAGGGTACAGGGGAGGGTACAGCTTCAAGGGGGCAGGGAGGGTACAAGCAAGCAAGGTACAGGGAGGGATTACAAAGCAACAGGTACAAAGGAGGGTACAGGCAAGGTACAGAGGGAGGGGTACAAAGCAAGGATAGAGGGAGGGTACAGGCAGGGAGGAGTACAAGGCAGGACAGGAATACAGGCACAGGCAAGGTACAGGGAGGGTACAAACAGCAAGGTACAGGGAGGGTACAAGCAAGGTACAGGGAGGGTACAAGCAAGGTAGAGGGTGGGTATACAGGCAAGGTACAGGAGGGTACAGGCAAGGTACAGGGGAGGGTACAAACAAAGGTACAGGAGGGTACAAAGCAAGGTTACAGGGAGGGTACAAGCAAGGTAGAGGGTGGGTATAGGCAAGGTACAGGGAGGGTACAGGCAAGGTACAGGGTGGGTATAGGCAAGGTACAGGGAGGGTACAAGCAAGGTACAGGGAGGGTACAGAGAAGGTACAGGTGGGGTACAGGGGAAGGTAGGAAGAAGCTACAGGGGAGGTACAAGCAAGGTACAGGGGAGGGTACAAGCAAGGTACAGGGAGGGTACAAGCAAGATTACAGGGAGGGTACAGGGAAGGTAGAGAAGCAAGATACAAGCTAGGGAGGAAGGTAGAAGCAAGGGTACAGGGGAGGGTACAAGCAAGGTACAGGGGAGGGTACAAGCAAGGTACAGGGGAGGGTACAGAGAAGGTACAGGGGAGGAATCTGAGAGCAAGGTACAGGGAGGGTACAATCAAGGTACAGGGAGGGTACAAGCAAGGTACAGGGAGGGTACAAGCAAGGTACAGGGAAGGTAGAAGCAAGGTACAGGGAAGGTAGAAGCAAGGTACAGGCAAATTACAGGGAGGGAACAGGCAAGGTACAGGGAGGGTACAAGCAAGGTACAGGGAGGATACAGGTGAGGTACAGGGAGGGTACAGGGAAGGTACAAGCAAGCTACAGGGAAGGTACAGGCAAGGTACAGGGAGGGTACAGGCAAGGTACAGGGAGGATACAGGTGAGGTACAGGGAGGGTACAGGTGGGGTACAGGGAAGGTAGAAGCAAGCTACAGGGAAGGTAGAAGCAAGGTACAGGCAAGGTACAGGGAGGGTACAGCCAAATTACAGGGAGGGAACAGGGAACACCTCCGAGTTGCAGGACATCATAGTTGACATTCGTTGCACTGTAGCAGCGTAGGGAAGTAGGTTTTAGATATTTAGATTTTAGAAGATAACACTTATGTTTGTGGTTTAACTTGTCACAGGTGTAGCATCAATTATTTTCACTTCTGAAAATGAAATAGCTTTGATTTTCTCATGAAGAGTAATTGCTATCTGATCATGTTGACTATACTCATGAATGGGTAGATTATTTATTCTGGGAATAGTCAATCAGATGTTGTTTACATACTTAATTTGTAGATTGTGAAATAACAGTACACCATGTGTTGATGTTTTGGGTGTTCTGTCATCATAGCTATGTTTAATTAATTTGAATTATTTGTCCTTAATGGCAACAGTTTGAACCAAACAAGTTGTCAGGTGACATGTTTTCACTGGCAAACTAAACAGCTGCTGGCCTGCCACTTACGTCTCGTCTTTGAGGTGTGTGGGTAAAATTCCATTATATATCAATATTTATGTTACTTTCATAAAGAAAAAAATGTGGAAAATGTTTAACATTAAAATATTTACCAGTATGCACACTCCATGTTGATTCGTGGTTGTGTTCACTTTATATGCCAAGTATCATCACTAACAGCTTGCAGCTGGTGCAGGAAAATAATGCCAAGTCAGCACAAAAACAACAAAGACAGATGTACATAAATTACTTCCCGTAACTCGACTGTGCATCGTCAGTTAACCAGAAGGAAACCTAATTGCTAGACTGGAATGTTACACAGACAATCAGGTTGCAGCAATTAAAGTCCTCAAACCACCTGTAGTTTTTATCAACACTTATTGTACAGTTGGCAGATTAAGTCTAGCCTGAGGGACCATACCAGGAAGAGGTCTCTTGACTGCATGCCTTCCACCAGCTGTAACACAGGAACACATCACTTGACTGCCTTATACCAGCTGTAACACAGGAACACATCACTTGACTGCCTTATACCAGCTGTAACACAGGAACACATCACTTGACTGCCTTATACCAGTTATAACACAGGAACACATCACTTGACTGCCTTATACCAGCTGTAACACAGGAACACATCACTTGACTGCCTTATACCAGCTGTAACACAGGAACACATCACTTGACTGCCTTATACCAGCTGTAACACAGAAACACATCACTTGACTGCCTTTATACCAGCTGTAACACAGGAACACATCACTTGACTGCTTTATACCAGCTGTAACACAGAAACACATCACTTGACTGCTTTATACCAGCTGTAACACAGGAACACATCACTTGACTGCTTTATACCAGCTGTAACACAGAAACACATCACTTGACTGCTTTATACCAGCTGTAACACAGAAACACATCACTTGACTGCCTTATACCTGCTGTAACACAGAAACACATCACTTGACTGCTTTATACCAGCTGTAACACAGGAACACATCACTTGACTGCTTTATACCTGCTGTAACACAGAAACACATCACTTGACTGCTTTATACCTGCTGTAACACAGGAACACATCACTTGACTGCTTTATACCAGCTGTAACACAGAAACACATCACTTGACTGCCTTATACCAGCTGTAACACAGAAACACATCACTTGACTGCCTTATACCAGCTGTAACACAGAAACACATCACTTGACTGCTTTATACCAGCTGTAACACAGGAACACATCACTTGACTGCTTTATACCAGCTGTAACACAGAAACACATCACTTGACTGCTTTATACCAGCTGTAACACAGAAACACATCACTTGACTGCCTTTATACCTGCTGTAACACAGAAACACATCACTTGACTGCTTTATACCAGCTGTAACACAGAAACACATCACTTGACTGCTTTATACCTGCTGTAACACAGAAACACATCACTTGACTGTTTTATTTATACCTGCTGCTAACACAGAAACACATCACTTGACTGCTTTATACCTGCTGTAACACAGAAACACATCACTTTCGACTGCCTTATACCAGCTGTAACACAGAAACACATCACTTGACTGCTTTATACCTGCTGTAACACAGAAACACATCACTTGACTGCTTTATACCTGCTGTAACACAGAAACACATCACTCGACTGCCTTATACCTGCTGTAACACAGAAACACATCCTGTAACACAGAAACACATCACTTGACTGCTTTATACCAGCTGTAACACAGAAACACATCACTCGACTGCCTTATACCAGCTGTAACACAGAAACACATCACTTGACTGCTTTATACCAGCTGTAACACAGAAACACATCACTTGACTGCTTTATACCTGCTGTAACACAGAAACACATCACTCGACTGCCTTATACCTGCTGTAACACAGAAACACATCACTTGACTGCTTTATACCAGCTGTAACACAGAAACACATCACTTGACTGCCTTATACCTGCTGTAACACAGAAACACATCACTTGACTGCTTTATACCAGCTGTAACACAGAAACACATCACTTGACTGCCTTATACCAGCTGTAACACAGAAACACATCACTTGACTGCTTTATACCTGCTGTAACACAGAAACACATCACTTGACTGCCTTATACCAGCTGTAACACAGGAACACATCACTTGACTGCTTTATACCAGCTGTAACACAGAAACACATCACTTGACTGCTTTATACCTGCTGTAACACAGAAACACATCACTTGACTGCCTTATACCAGCTGTAACACAGGAACACATCACTTGACTGCCTTATACCTGCTGTAACACAGAAACACATCACTTGACTGCTTTATGCCAGCTGTAACACAGGAACACATCACTTGACTGCTTTATGCCAGCTGTAACACAGGAACACATCACTTGACTGCTTTATGCCAGCTGTAACACAGAAACACATCACTTGACTGCCTTATACCAGCTGTAACACAGGAACACATCACTTGACTGCTTTATACCAGCTGTAACACAGGAACACATCACTTGACTGCTTTATACCAGCTGTAACACAGGAACACATCACTTGACTGCTTTATACCTGCTGTAACACAGGAACACATCACTTGACTGCTTTATACCTGCTGTAACACAGGAACACATCACTTGACTGCCTTATACCAGCTGTAACACAGGAACACATCACTTGACTGCTTTATACCTGCTGTAACACAGAAACACATCCTTGACTGCTTTATGCCAGCTGTAACACAGAAACACATCCTTGACTGCCTTATACCTGCTGTAACACAGGAACACATCCTTGACTGCCTTATACCTGCTGTAACACAGAAACACATCCTTGACTGCTTTATGCCAGCTGTAACACAGAAACACATCACTTGACTGCTTTATACCTGCTGTAACACAGGAACACATCACTTGACTGCTTTATACCTGCTGTAACACAGGAACACATCCTTGACTGCTTTATACCTGCTGTAACACAGAAACACATCCTTGACTGCTTTATACCTGCTGTAACACAGGAACACATCCTTGACTGCTTTATACCAGTTGTAACACAGGAACACATCACTTGACTGCTTTATACCTGCTGTAACACAGAAACACATCACTTGACTGCTTTATGCCAGCTGTAACACAGAAACACATCACTTGACTGCCTTATACCTGCTGTAACACAGGAACACATCACTTGACTGCCTTATACCTGCTGTAACACAGAAACACATCACTTGACTGCTTTATGCCAGCTGTAACACAGAAACACATCCTTGACTGCTTTATGCCAGCTGTAACACAGGAACACATCACTTGACTGCTTTATACCTGCTGTAACACAGGAACACATCCTTGACTGCCTTATACCTGCTGTAACACAGAAACACATCCTTGACTGCTTTATGCCAGCTGTAACACAGGAACACATCCTTGACTGCTTTATACCTGCTGTAACACAGGAACACATCACTTGACTGCTTTATGCCAGCTGTAACACAGAAACACATCCTTGACTGCCTTATACCAGTTGTAACACAGGAACACATCCTTGACTGCTTTATACCAGCTGTAACACAGGAACACATCCTTGACTGCTTTATACCAGCTGTAACACAGGAACACATCACTTGACTGCCTTATACCAGCTGTAACACAGGAACACATCCTTGACTGCTTTATACCTGCTGTAACACAGGAACACATCCTTGACTGCTTTATGCCAGCTGTAACACAGGAACACATCCTTGACTGCCTTATACCTGCTGTAACACAGGAACACATCCTTGACTGCTTTATGCCAGCTGTAACACAGGAACACATCACTTGACTGCTTTATACCAGCTGTAACACAGGAACACATCACTTGACTGCTTTATACCTGCTGTAACACAGGAACACATCACTTGACTGCCTTATACCAGCTGTAACACAGGAACACATCACTTGACTGCCTTATACCAGCTGTAACACAGGAACACATCACTTGACTGCTTTATGCCAGCTGTAACACAGGAACACATCCTTGACTGCTTTATACCAGCTGTAACACAGGAACACATCACTTGACTGCTTTATACCTGCTGTAACACACACACATCACACATCACTTGACTGCTTTATGCCAGCTGTAACACAGGAACACATCACTTGACTGCCTTATACCAGCTGTAACACAGGAACACATCACTTGACTGCCTTATACCAGCTGTAACACAGAAACACATCACTCGACTGCCTTATACCAGCTGTAACACAGGAACACATCACTTGACTGCTTTATACCAGCTGTAACACAGGAACACATCACTTGACTGCCTTATACCAGCTGTAACACAGGAACACATCACTTGACTGCTTTATGCCAGCTGTAACACAGGAACACATCACTTGACTGCTTTATACCAGCTGTAACACAGGAACACATCACTTGACTGCCTTATACCAGCTGTAACACAGGAACACATCACTTAACTGCCTTATACCTGCAGAACAGTTAAAGCTGCAACAGGTATCATACAAGGGTTGAAATTGCAGATGCTAATGCGCGAAATGCATTTAAAAATTAATGATAGCGTTAAAGGCAAACTTTTTTAGTGTCCCGTGTTTTTGTTGATTTAATCAGAAAAATTATGAAAAATCATACTCAGTTTTGAGTTACTTCCCTTTATTTATTGATGACAAATAACGAAGGATGCCGAATATCAAATCCACGGAACTAATAGCCAGTCACATGCATAGTATAACATCAGGATTTTCCGATTCAGTGATAGCAGACTTTAGCAACTGCGTGCATTTGTCAAATTTGACATTCATAATCAAACATTGTTACAAATGATATGACAACAAACTACTTAAAATGGAAGTGTTTAAAGGGGAAGTGGTGAGGAATCGGAGATAAGTCCTGACGAAAAGAAACCTGACTCCGTTCACGCGGAGAGATCTAGTAAAGCGGTAGACAGTGTAGGTGTTATGTGTCAACTGAAGACCTTGAAAAAATTCCAAAAAGAACTGAATATTAAAATTGGATTAAATGAAGCCACTACAGACTGTGTGTATAGATTATGGTGCACAGTCTGCTAGGAATATACAAATAGTTCTGATCAAACGTCACCAGTATGTAGGTGTCATAAGTTCTAAATCAACACAGCTTCACAACATCTGTATCAACTGTTAACTCCGGGGAAAATGTTGATAATAGTAGTTAAAGT